CAAGGGGTAGATGAGAAAAATGGTAGACATAAATGTGAATACGATGGTGTTAGTGGTATCAAGCTATTGAGTAAAGTGGTGGCCATTGCGGATGGGAATTATTGCTCCATATCACCTGTCCTATACGGAATGGTTATGCCACCTAATAAAATGTTAGCTGACACAAACTTCATTTTTTTTTTTTTTTTGTTTAAATAATTAGTTATATAATTTGAATGTGTATATTGATTTTGAGTCTACTACTTTCTCCTTTTTCATTTTTGGGCAGTTAGGTGTCTCTGCACTTGAGACTACTCTCTCTTGATTAGGGTTAGAGAATTAATAAGAAATTATTTTTTAATAATTTTTTTATAAAATTAAACATTGGTTAATGGGATGAGAAACAAACCTATTAACTAAGTTATATGGAGTTTTAAGATAAGGGGCAAAATGGATACTTTAATCCTTTATTTTAAGAAAAAGTATAGAAGTTAATTTTAATAATCATTAAATATGTTAATTAGTTTCTTAAAATAAAAGATTAAAGTACCCATTTTGCCCCTTACCTTGATAAATTTAAAGTTCTTAACTCTTCACCTTATATTATAAAATTTTTATCCTCTAAACTTAAATGTTTGAAGATTTTATTCTATAAACTAATGAAATTCGTTAACTTTCTATTAAGATGATAATAAAATATTTATATGATCAGACTTTAAAGATTAAAAATGTATTAATTAAGTTCCAAAAGATTAAAAATTTTAAAAAGTAGGAAATTAAAAATAATTAGTGGATGACTTTGTCACATACACGAGAACAATATTAAATATCTACAATCAAATTGAGCAATTAACTGAATTTGAAGAAATAAATTTGATGAAAATTTCTTGACTATGTTCTCCTAATCTCTTGGATTTTCTATCTTAATTCAGCCAATAAATTTTCTTTAATCTCAATCAAAATTCTTTCTTCAAATTGAGTTAATTACTTGATTTAATTACATATATTTAATATTATTCTAATGTATGTGAAAAAGTCATTCATTAATTTTTTTTAGTTTACTAATTTTTTTTTTAATTTTAAACTTTTGAAACTAAATTATTACATTTTTAATTTTTGAGGATTGATCCTATATAAATATTTTATTCTCAATGTAATAGAGAATTAACATATTCCATTATTTTAGAGACTAAAATCTTCAAATTTTTAAATTTTAGAACTAAAAACTTTCTAATATAATATGAAGAACTAAAATAAATCTCCTCTTCTACTTTTTAAGTTAAATAAAATTAACCTTCTTATGTTTTGACAAAAATAAATTACTCAAAATTTAACAAATAATGTAATCGTACATCATCATTTTATATATCTTTCTCCTTCTATACTCGTTAAACTCTTGCCAATATGACAATCTTGTCTCATTTTTATGACAGGTAGCCAAATGGAATTAATTAACTCATTCTTGTTAGCCAACTTGATATTAAGAAAATATCATGTCATCAGAAAAATAGGCCCAAGATTACCAGCTTAGGAAGAGCTTGATAGATATTGAAGAAAAAGACAAAATGACAACGTATGATTATATTATTTGTTAAATTTTAGCTTATTTTTTTCATATAAAATATATAAGAAATAGTTTTATTCGACCTAAAGGTGTAACTGTAGATTTATTTCAAGAAAAAATAGAGGGATAACATTTCAATAATTACTGACAAATATACCTTTTTTTCGCCCTTAACTGAAAACATTACTTAAACTTACACGCAGAAATAGAAATAGAGGGAGAAGAAAAAGGGAATATAATACATGAGTTTGATTTTTTTTTTTTAATTTAGATTATATATTAAAATGTAATTTGATTAGACACTAAAATTATTAAATTAATATTAATGAAAAAACATATAAAAAATTTTATTAAGAGAATTTTAATAATTTTAGTGTCTAAATTATACTTTTTAATGTATAGTCAGATTTGAAAAATAGTCTTTTAATAATAAATATGACAACAATATCAAATGATAAATTTTTCTTTTTTGTTTTTTAATCAGTTTATGCATATTTCAATATTGACTTCCTTGAAGAATCCAACCTTTCCGAGACAATCCCTAACTAAATTACCTTGACTAATGATAATTTTAATATATTGTGTTACAAGATCAGTTGCGTCAGATTTTGAATTTTTCTTCTCAGAAATTTCCAGACCATGAAAAATGCATTATTATTATTTTTTTAACCTAGTCCAATTTGGGGATGAAAAATGAAATTGTCAAAGTTTAAATTTTAAATTTCTAAATAGTATTATACCTTTTAAAGGAGTTGTGGCTATTGGGGCCATAATAATAGTTGGTTAAAATATAAAAAATGCATTATTAGGTTCTCCATTAAGAGTCCCATCTCATGTCACAAGTGTACCCAGTTGACGTTGGTTAACTGCGTATCTTATCTCAATTGTTATTTTTGCTATTATGGTCATGAGGAGGGCATCAAATTACTTCGTCTTTCTGAGAATGTTACCCTCCGGATTATCTAGTGTCTTCCCTCATCCTACATTTCCCATTGTTAAAAAAAAAAAAGAAAAAAAAGAGAAAAAGAAAAAAGAAAAAAGAAAGGATGAGGATGTATTTGAAATTGGAGTTTGAGACTTTTTCTTGTAATTGTATAATATTTTTAAATATATATATATTTGGTAATTTTTTTCATTAAAACAAATAAGTTATAAAAAAAATCACAATAAATCTATAATAATTTTACATATAAAATTAAAAATTTTATTTTAAAGTTTTTCAATTATACTTATACCTATAAGGATTACAACAAGACCCTGTTTAGACTCTTCCCATCTCCGTCTCCACTAAAAGCAAGTATTGAGATCCCCATGGTGATTTTGACAAGGGGGTAAAAAATCCCTTCATCTCCATCCCCACGAGTAAAAAAAACACCAATGTCAAATTTTCTTCGAGGTAAGTATCAAAAATTATTTTTTTATTGATTTATTCATACTAAAAACTATTGATTTTTTTTTTCACTATTATATTTAATTATAATATTTTTTTCTAAATTTTTGTATTTTGTTCATCAAGTTAAGTTGCACAATACTTTTAATTAATAAAAAACCAAACATTAAAATAACGTTTAATTATAAGTACGATTACACTTATAACATCTCACAATAATTCCAAAGATACCTTAAAACAAAATACACATCTTATGTCTATTCTAATGAAGAAATCATTTATTATAATCCAACCATTCAAATAAAGGAAATAAAAAAAAGAAATAAAAGTAACAAGAAAAAAATATGAAAAAGAAGATTGAAAAGAGCAAAACAAAACAAAACATCTTATGTCTACCGTAATGAACAAATATTTATTATAACCCAACCATTCAAATCAAACAAAGAGAGGAAGAAAACGTTAAAAGTTGGAACGTAGAGGCATCACATGAAAGTGATTACAGGGATTGCTATTATTGATTCAGATTTCCAGTGATACAATGCTCAGCCACTACTGCAGACCAGAAGGAAGGCAACTTCTGCACTGGCACCGCTTATGACATGCAAAGTCACAGGCTTTCAATCACCTGTTATTTTACTCCACCATAAAATCTACCACTCTATAATATGAGTTGGTATCTATGCATTATTTAGTATATACATCGACTCACAATTCCCAAAGGCTCAGGAGGATACAGAAGCTGAATCTTGCAACCCGCAAACCATATTTGCAGGGACTGCTTTATCCATCATCTTAGGATATGACAGGTTGAGATCTGTAGCACCAAAAAATAAAAAAAAGAAAACTTAAGAATTACGATTGCAACATGCTCGTAGTATTTGAACCTTGCTATAACATATACTTACTCTCCATGATGCTTTTGAATGTTTCCTGCAAAATGATGTTTGTAATTGTAAGTATAAACAGCCATGGAATAAACTGAAACAAGGATATAAAGTTTGCAGCAGTTATGGGTTAGCATTTCATGAAATGTGAGAAAGCACCAATTTTCTAAACTTTTATCATCACAATTTATGCTTATTATTTCAATCCATTTAAGAAGATAACAAACCAAAGTATCACGCCATTCCTTTCTCTAGTTCAGCTATGTCTAACTAGTAGTAAACTTATTATTAATTCAGTTGCATCAGCAATATGGTGCTAGTGGGATTTCAAGATTTTCCCCTGCATCTAAATGTAACAGCCAACAGGTAGAAAATAGAGCAAGGGTTCCTTCATCATTTGGAAACAGACAAGTTCATTGATTTCCCTAAGGAAATACAGACTTTTCCACAGAAGAATTACCTCATCCTTTGTTAGGCGAGGATTGTATTGCATCTCTTCTTCCACTGTGCTAACCTGAAATGAATGAGTTCCAAATAAGTACGCCATATAAATATATATTAGAAAAGAGAAATTAAATGAAATCTTACCGTGAATCCTCGGTAATCATGAGCAGGATATATCAATGTGTTCTTGGGCAATGTAAAAATCTGGCATCATAAAAGCAAAATGAGTAAACTTTTTGTATAATATTTTGTAAGTGCCAAGTAACGGAAAAAGAATGTGTGATTGAACTCAAAGGTGCAAGTTACTTTGGGTTCCATCCCCAAAATATTATCCCCTACCATTCCCAACAATTCATTTCTACTTTAAACCGTAACACAACCAATTTGAATCTGATATCCTTGCCTGTGAATGCACTGACTTGTAGAGTTGCTGGGAACTTCCACCCTGCATAACCCACAGCATGAAATCACTCCTTTCTGAGATTTGCCTAGCCTAAAATAGCTAATGTACTCTAGCAGATGCTAACAAACAATTCACTCAGTGATAAGTTCAAAAACAATCTAGCAAACAATGTTTTTAGTGTTGCAAGGAAATTGATTCAACAAGTTTCTAATGATTTATCTTCTTTTACTGGGCTCTGATGCCAATAGAAAGTTAGAAACTGGAGGCAATGCAAACTTCTGATCAGCAGAAAACTTATAAATAACAGAAACAAATAAAATGAACTGTTATCCTGATCCTGAAACACTAACAAAACAGGCAAATTCAATTGCAATATAAAATAGTGGACAACTCATTCTTTATCCCATTTTGGGACGTTAGCACCTAAGTGCGTCCCTTGCCAATCTAGACATTGTTATAGGAAAACCAGAATTTGCACAAAATTTTAGAATGGCAGATAAAGTGAGAATGGAAAAGTAATACATTAGATACTTTAGAAACATGTGCTAGATGCTTTGACTATTCTGAAGATTATGATAGTTGAAAACTAGAAAAAAAAAAAATTTAATCACCTAGTAATTCATTTTTGGATCACCATGCAATTTAAATTTTCAACATGAGCTACCTGAAAGTCTGTCCTGCCACATCCGCGAATTAATAAAGCATCTCCAGTGAAAGCCATCCTTGGTTGAGGTTGATTTGGTTCAGTTCCAGTGACATAGGTAACACAACCCAATGTATGGCCAGGAGTAGCACGGACCTGCATTTATTAAAACAGAGAGAAGAAAAAAATTAGAGTTTACAGAGGCCGGAGAGGAAGAACACAAAACTGCATTCATGCATTTCATTTAGGAGGCAGTTAATGATTTAGATTTGTTTGACCTATAAAATTTTAAATTCTCTGTTTTTAAGTATTGCTTTCGCAGTGTGAAGATGGTCCTGTCATATATGCAGTCTAATCAACCAACATTATATAAAATGCACTTAATCCCATACATTAAACTGCTATTTAGAGTGAAATGAAAGTATTAACAGTCCTCGTATTAATATAACTCGAAGGTCACAATTGGTTGGATGTAGTTGCTATTCCTAGCTCAAACTATAAAAATAAAGTAAATTGGATAGAGAGCATAGAAAATAAGCAATCACTATTCCATGTTTGTATCAATCTTCTTCTAATGCACTTGAAGAAGAAAAGAAAAGCTAGAGCCTAAGGTGGTGTTATTAGCTATTCATTTCTCATTCCAACTTTAGAAGGAAATTAGTGAAAGGACAGAATATAAGCATTCCTAATTTGCTACCCTTTTTCTTTCAACCAAACACGTTGAAAAGAGATCTACAAATGCCTACCTCAAGAAAGAGGTCACCAAATTGGACTTTATCACCAGCTTCAACCAGAAGGTCAGCCTTGGCACCACTTGCTTTTGAAATAACAGATTTCAAACCCAGTACCTTACCCTGCAAAGGGATGCCAAATTTTTCAACAACAACTTAAGTAATAACAAACTGACAACAAAGGCATAAGATTTCATTCTCCAATAAGCATAGGACGCTGAAAAATAGCAAATAGACCAGTAAAAGTGCTAATGGTCTTTAAAATATTATTCTTGCAATTCCCATAAGCAGAACATGAGCTAACTCAAATGATCCTAAGTCCAAACCACTGGGACTGCATTAGAAGATTAAAAAGTGCTAATTCCTAAATTATTACTTCAACCCATACACCATACAAATAATTTGATACCCATTTCAGACAAGAAAACATTACAGAGCAAAAGTGATACAAGAAAAACCTTGATAAGGCCAGTTCCGGTGACATGATCGGCATGCACATGAGTGTTCATGGCATAGATAAGCTTCAGCCCCAATTCTCTAACAAGAGATAAGTCTCTATCAACAGTCTTGTCCACAGGATCAATCAACTGCACATTCATTTGATTATACATTTTTCATAACTTCAACAGTTTTGGGTACATTACTAATTTTAATTCCACAACGAAAACTCAAGAAACACAACCAATTGTTCATAAATTTAAGAATCAAACAAAACCCATAAAACATATCAAAGAAAACTCACAACAGCCGGTTTATCTGGGTGGGAGAAGTCCGCGAGGAGGTAAGTGTAGGTGGAGGATTCCTTCTCCAAGAGCTGGCGAAACAAGAGCTTCTGCTGTGACTGTGAGGAAGTGGAGTAGGAACCCATTTGCGATCTCAGAAGAAGATTAATGGGTTTGGGAGACAAATTGGGGGGATGAAAGATAGGGGAGGAAACGGAGGGGCTGATTATAAACCGGAATTTGAGCATATTTTTTGTCTTCAACTGTTCTTGTTGATACAATTGTGAAGCTAAAGCGATGGCATTATTGTATAATGGAAGAATGAGTTGTATTCTAGCAAAGACTGATGTGGCCACTGAGTAGTTTATATTATCCGGCAGGCATGGATATGCACGTTCTTCCAGGATTCTCGTCGTGGGTTCGAAGCAGAAACCCAAGAGCATTAAGGAAGAAAGAAAGAAAGCAACTTTAGATGGCTTGGTGTTCGGCTGCCGTGCATGCGATGTTCGAACGGGTGCTTCACCTCCCTATTTCCTTCATTTGGTTCACACATCCCATAATAACTACAGAAAAAAAAAAACCCTCTCAAGACGCTTTATGTTGAAAATATCAAAATCTTTAATAATAATTATACAATAAATTTAATAAAATTAAAATTTACATTATATCTTATGTGATTGTGATTAGTAGTTCTAACATTTTAAATATTAAAATACCTTAATTTTTCTTTTTTCCATAATTAGAGGATTTTTTTATTTACTATTATGATGTCTTTAGTCCGTTTTTCTGCACCTAAAAATTAATATATGAAAGTTTTAAGGTGCAAGGGCCTAATTCATTTAACAAAATTGAATTTCTTGAGTTCTAGTAGTAAAACTTGAAATTGACT